AAAAAAAAACACAGAGCCGGGCGTTGGTGGCACACGCCTTTAATCCCAGCACTCGGGAGGCAGAGGCAGGCGGATCTCTGTGAGTTCGAGGCCACCCTGGTCTACCGAGCGAGTTCCAGGACAGCCTCCAAAACAATGCAGAGAAACCCTGTCTCGAAACCCCCCACCAAAAAAAAAAGCAGAGCTGGAGAGATGGCTCAGCAGTTAAGAACACTGACTGTTCTTCCGGAGGACTTGGGTTCAATTCTTAGCACCCACACGGCGGCTTACAACTGTCTGTAACTCTAGTTCCAAGGGAATCTGATACCTTCACCCCAATGCATATAAAGGTTAAATCAATTATTTAAAAACAAAACAATAGCCGGGCGTTGGTGGCACACGCCTTTAATCCCAGCACTCGGGAGGCAGAGGCAGGTGGATCTCTGTGAGTTCGAGACCAGCCTGGACTACAGAGAGAGTTCCAGGACAGCCTCCAAAGCCACAGAGAAACCCTGTCTCGAAAAACCAAAAAATAAAAAAATAAAAACAAAACAATAAAAAGCACACTAGAAGGTGAAGGGAAAAGATCAGCTGCGCAGACTGAGTGGTGATATCAAACGCCTTTAGTCCCAGTACTTGAGGCAGAGACAGGAGGATCTCTGTGAGTCCCAGGACAGCCTGGTCGACAGAGTGAGTTCTAGAACAGCCAGGGCTACACAGTGAAACCCTAGCCCCAAGAAGAGTCTCAGGGAAAGTTATCCCACTGTCCAGGACCACTGGGAGAGTAGAAGGCCGGACTCTCACCTGAAACAGGAGCAACAAAAGATGACTTTCACTGTGATGTCCACACAGGAACACCGAGGAACGAGTCTGACACAGACACGTGTGACTGACTGGTCAGCAGAACCCACACATGCCTCAGGATACATCAAGGACCTCAGCCAATGCAAGGCACATGGCTGAGAGGAAGCTTGGGGCTGTTCTCTGACAACCACATGCAGCTCAGGAGACTGACTGTTTCTGTCATCACCGTCACAATTAACCCAGTCGGCGGCAGAGCCAGACATAAAACACACTCATAGCCTTGAGATCTCTAAGTCAGAACACAGAAGCAACCAACACAGTGGGCTTTACGAAAACCAAAACTCCTGCTCTTCCAAAACTACGAGAGCTGTACACACAGACCCACTTGAGCTCCAGCGTTGGGAGGCCAGCCTGGGCAACATGTGAGACCAGTCTTGAGTGAAATCACAAAGCACACCCATGAAGAAGAGTGACTAACCCAAGAGCAGAAACACTTCTGCTGCACCAAGGACTCTCAGCTCCATGAGGAACACAGATTCTTCCCAGTAAAAACCAGAAGACACGGAACGGCATATGGGAAAACCCTTGGCATCACCCATTCCCAAGGAGAGTCTAAGGAAAATTTACCACACTGTCCAGGACCACCAGGAGAGTGTTTCTTAAACAATTACCAAATGACAGCCTCAAACTACAAAGACTCTAACGTCTAAAACGGGGGTTTGTTCTTACAAGGGAGTATTTTGTAACAACAAAAAGGAGAGTCGGCTGGCAGAAAAGCATGGATGCATCAAAGACAGCCTCGCTCTGTCCCCATGGCCCTCTGGGGAGATGGTACTGCCTGGGAAGGCAGAGCTGGCAGCGTCAGGAATGACAGAGGGACGGGGACTCCTTGCTGGAATGACAGAGATGTCTGTGCCTTGTACAAACACATCTACAGCAGTGTACACTGTCCAGACACCGAGAGACCCGTCCTCAGAAGAGGTGAGAAAAAGCAGCAGGTGTGCAAAGCTTGGGAGTGGAGTTGACAACCATCAACAAGAAAAGAATTCAAGTGGACGTACAAAGGTCCAAAGCGGTAAAGACCCTACGGAAGAGCGGGTGGAGAACACGCCTAGGAACGGGTAAGGACTCCGGAATCTCAGCAGTACGGCAGGGCAGGACCCTGGCTGTCCCTTGCAGCATGGTGTACCAGGCTGTTGAGGCGAGGCGAACTTGGCAACATGGCTGGAACAGCACTGAGTATCAGGAGTTGAATCCTCCCTCCCACCAGCCCCGGGATGCCTAGCACCCAGCTTCCCCCAGGACAGAGAGAGCTGTCTCACCACCTCCCAGGGAAGGAAGGAGAACTGAAACTCAACCAATGTCAAAGTGAGGGGGGTGGATTCCACCCCCCGGCCCCCCCCACACTCCAGGCCAATTCTGAGGACCACATGTAATTGAAGGGGGCCCTCCCAACAGTTCGAGGTGGGGAAGAGATTACTATTCCCTGTAGAAACTGCTGAGACTCAAGTAGGGGGAAGAAAAGAGAAAGAAAAATTGGCAAAAGACATGAATAGGAATTTCACTAACAAGGAAGTACAAACAGTCTAGATTCATAATCAGAGAAATTCAAACTAAAGCCACAACACTGTTTCACACCCACCAGCTTGGCAAGAATGCAAGGCAGTGAGGATTCTCACCCTGGCGCTGGGGGCCGGGGCTGGCACCACCGCTTTAGGAAGCAACTGAATAGTAACACTGAGCAAGCACACACCCACACCTCTAAATCCTCCTACTTGGCAAGACACGTTCAAGACAGTCCTGCCTGCCACAGGGACGGGCACACACACAGGAGAGAGGTAGGTGAGCCCCCCTCCGCAGTCCCAATGGCAGATTTGTAATAGGGCAGGAACCTGACAATATCCCTTCACAGAAGTCCGGTGTCATCGCTCTGAGGAAATGCTGTGCAGCCACCAGCAGAGATGCGGCTCACAAAATTAAAGACCAGCTAAGCCTGGGCGGACAGGGGAAAGAACTCAGGGAACACAATCGCGATCCTCTTAGCAGACAGCAGAAGGGCAGCACTGGACTGCGCATAGGTGGTCTCAGGGTGTGTGCATGGAGAGGGTGTGTGCACAGGAGAGGGTGTGTGCAGGGGAGGGGGAGTGTGCACAGGAGGGTGTGTGCACAGGAGGGGGAGTGTGCACGGGAGGGGGAGTGTGCAGGGGAGGGGGAGTGTGCACAGGAGGGGGAGTGTGCAGGGGAGGGTGTGTGCACAGGAGAGGGAGTGTGCACGGGAGGGGGAGTGTGTACAGGAGAGGGTGTGTGCACGGGAGGGGGCGTGCGGCAGCAGAGCAGAGAAGGTCACAGCACACAAGACAGAGGACAGGCAACTCTGTACTGAAACAGCATGCTTTTACACATGGAGCATCTGGTCCACACGACCAAGGTCCTCACCACTCCAGAGAAAAGTCTCTCTCCTCTGTCCAGGCCAAAGCCCAGAGCGCCCCTGCATCTGCTGCTCACCCCAGATGCCCCATCCTTCCCTGTGAGCAAGCCTGTCCTCAACCAGCCTTCCCAGACCCCGCTTTCGCCATTAGAAAGGGGGTATTCTAGGTTCTGCAAGAACAGAGACCAGAGCAGACATGAGGGAGCATGCCTACAATCCCTGGACACAGCAGGCAGAGGCAGGAGGATGAGGAGTTCAAGGCCACCCTGGGAGGCAAACAAATTCAAGGCCATCCCTGACTTTAAAACAAAACCCTGTCTCAAAAAAAAAAAAAACAGTCCACCTGGCCAGGTGCTCGTGTCCCACTCCTTTAATCCAAGCACTCAGGAGGCAGAGGCAGGCGGATCTCTGTGAGTTGGAGAACAGCCTGGTCTAATATAGTAACTTCCAGGACAGCCAGAGCTACACGCAGAAAAACCGCGTCTCAGAAAAACAAAAGAAGTCCACCTTTAGAGGAAACATTAAAGAAACTCGGGGGCTGCTAAAGAATACAAGGGGGTGCTCAGGGCAATGATGCAAAGAGACGGAATAAGAGGGGGGAGGGTCCAGCATCCCCCCTCCTCCGGCTTTGATGACTTGGGAGACACTCCCAGCGAGGCACACACTGACCCTCAGGTCTCAGTCTTCCAGATGCCACACAGGTATAGCAATCGTGCTCAGCATCCACCCTTCCTTTCCCAAAGGCGCAGCCAAGACCCAAAAGGGAAAAGCCACTGTGCAGGACCCTGTGTACCCCAACACCACACTCAGAGAAGCCTGCTCAAAGAGCCGCGCAGTGGGAGCCACAAGGCCAACCTGAAGTTCACCTGCGGAGAATTCCTCCCGCTCCCTAGCTTCTCAGTTCACCTGCGGAGAATTCCTCCCGCTCCCTAGCTTCTCAGTTCACCTGCGGAGAATTCCTCCCGCTCCCTAGCTTCTCAGTTCACCTGCGGAGAATTCCTCCCGCTCCCTAGCTTCTCACCTCGGGTTCCTCCCCTGCCCCAGGCGCACTGTCCAGGTTCTGTACCTGGAAGGCTCTTTGGTGATAAGCACTTTCCCTGTCTCCCCAGAGGGAAGCTGTCTAGAGTTCCTCTTTTCCCTCACTAGCACGGGCTCCTGAATAAGATCCAAGTCGAGGAAGAAATCACAAAAAAAAAAAAAAGTTTCCAGCTGGGCAGTAGAATGGGAAGCTGTGGGTCTACATAAAGGTAGGTGCCCAACAGCGTCCGCCCGGTGGGTAAATCTCGTCGAGCCCTTTCCAAGGAGCGAGTGGGAGGTCGCCTACCCGGGGGAGGGAGGCCAGGCTTCTGCGACCTTAAAACTAACAGCTCCAAGCAAAGAGCGGAACGGACTCGCGGCGCTCTCTCCTCAGCTCCCGGCGCAAGGCAGGCAGGTGAAAAAGAGCAGACCCGACCCGCAGGGCACAGGGGAGGCAACGGCGGCGTGTCCCGTGAGCCCCAGGCCCAGGCCTCTGGGGTGTGACAGTGGCCGCTGCACGCGGGAGCAGCGCGGTGCCACTCGCCGAGGGCTCGACCGCTCGAGCTGCCCGAGGTCCGCGGCGCGCTGCCCCGCCCGGGACGCAGGTGTCAAGGTGCGGGCAGAGGCGCTGGCCCGGCGGCCGAGCCACAGGCCCCGCTGCCCCGCCCCGGCCCTCGCCTGGCTCTTGCCCGCGCGCGCTCGGGGGCTCGGGGGCGCGGGGTCCCGGCCCGCGGGCAGGTGCGCGCGGACAAAGCGCGGCGCGGGGGCGTACCTGGGCACGCAGCTGGGGCTGGAGCCGTCCACCTCCCAGGTGGCGAACAGGTTCATGGGCACCGGGGTGTTGAGCGCTCCGGGCGTGCCGGGCAGGCCGAGGCGGCCCCGCTCGGCCATGGCGCCGGCCCCGCCGTCCCTCGGCGGCCTGGGGCTGCGCCGGGCCGCGGGAGCGCGGCGGGCGGGCGGGCCGGGCGCGCGGAGGGCGGCGGCGCGGTCACATGGCGCCGGCGGCCGGGCGGGAGTCGGGCAGGCCCGCGGGCGGTGTCCGGGCAGCGCCCGCGCCCCGCCCCCCCTACCGCTCCGCGCCGCCTATTGGCCGGCGGGGCAGGGCTCGCGCGGCACACCCAATCACCGCCTGCCGGAAGTGAGGCGCGCGCCTCAGGGCGTCTCCGGCGCCCAGCCGCGGGAGCGAGCGCGCGCGCCTGCGCACAGGCTCTGCCCTCCCAGCCAGGGTCCCGGGCAAGCGATGCGATGGCTACCGGAGTGGCCGGGTCAGCGGGCCCTCACGCTCCCTGCCGTGGGGCTGGGGGCCTGGGCACATGCCAGTGCCCCCCGGTGCCTCCTCCTGTGCCCCTCGCCATCCTGTGTGTCCCCGCATAGACCCCCCCCAAGGCCTCCGGGCTCTACTCCGTAGGCCCCACCCACTCTTATCCCTGGAGTTTCAGCCACCATCTGTCCTCCCTAGCTGCCCCCTGCAGCAGCCTCCTCCCATCCAACACCCTACATTCAGCAGTGCTTTATCATTTTTAAGTTGTTCTTAAGACATCAGAACAAATATTTGGTATAGGTGCGTTCTGCCTTGTTCACAGTGAACTGGTACCTGGGCCTGTAAGGGGGAGGGGTGATCATGCTGTCCCCCAGGGCCCAACAGGCAGGGGGCACTAGACCCGACCTTGGGAAGGCCGGCTAGGTTCTGGGGCTCAGGGAGAGGCTCTGTTTGGCTGTCTTTGGTCAAAGTCAACACATTTCGGAAAAAGCTTTGCTGGCCACGTCTTGTTTCTTTGTATCCACGGTTTTACACAATTTCCTTTCTCTCCGAGTCCCATGCCTTACTATCTGCAAGTAATTTTACTGTGACAAGTCTAACCCGAGGCAATTTGGCCTGGCTGTGTCCCTCCGTACCCTTCAGGGTTACCTCCACAGCCAGCTGTACTTTCTGCTTTCCTTCCCTGGAAGGCCCCTTGTGGGGGTGGTCCTTCCTCCGCTGTGACACCCCACCCCCTGCCGGCAACATTCTGTGCTCCTCTGCCAGAGGCAGCCTCCTGCTGTAACTCCTCCAGGGCGGGAGCTGCAAACAGCTGCAACCGCTTAGAGCCAGGGTCCCACTTTTGAAGAGAACAACGGGACCTGTGTTCTCCTCGTGCCCCCCGCTCACTGGGGTGGTAAGACAGAGTCCGGAGGGTTCGTCAGTCTGTGGACAGCCGAGACTAATATTGTCTGACGTTGCAGCCCTATGGGGGCCAGTAGTGAGTCTTCGTACCTAGGAGACGGGAGGCTGTGTTCGCTGAGTTTCAGCAGCCTTGGTGGACAGGGCTGCCTTTGATTGGAAGCAGAGGACAAGCATCCACTGACCTCAGCAATTGGCATACAGTGCTGGGCACAGACCAAGGGTGCATTTGCAGGCAGAAGAATGGGTTGACTGATGAGTTGTGTCTGTGTGCACCAGGCAGGCACTGCAGCCAGGGTCAGGGGAGGAAACGAGGGTGGCTAAGCTGGGCACACTGGGGCTTGGCACCAGTGGCCTCGGCTGAGCTGTGCCATCTTGTACTAGACGCCATTGTAGGTTCTCAATGAATATGACATATCTGTCCATTTTCATTTTAAAGGGATGGAAAGTGAGATGCACGCAGTCCTGCACTTTCTAAGGGGAAGCATCGTGTGTGTGTGTGTGTGTGTGTGTGTGTGTGTGTGTGTGTATGTGTGTGTGTGTGTGTGTGTGTGTGTGTGTGTGTGTGTGTGTAGATGGTGACTGCTAACTCGGGGGCGTGTTAGAGATAACCAGTGTTATGCTTTCCGAGTGAGTAAACAGCAGTTTGAATCTGTTTCACCAAACTTGTTGTTTGCATTTTTTGGTGCCTGTATTGGAAAGGCATGCTGTGTCCGTCTTCCTTTTGTAAACCGTAGTTCCCAAGACACGTTTCTTGGAAAGCTGGAAGGTGCCTCTTCCTGCAAAATAGGCATGATGTCACTCCCACCGTCCCACATTTGGAGCATTTTCCACAACTTTCCCTTTAAAACGGGAACTTGGTTCAGGATGAGCTTCTGTGGACAACTGGGGTGGCTGGTTATGGGGAGAGGGCCCAAGGAGAGAGTCCTGCAGAGCCCTGTAGTCCCAAATCAGCACCCATAACTCACTATTAAGGCAGGCAACATGTTGCCTTCTCTCTAGCAATCATTTGTTTGTTGATAGTGAATTGAGTTCTCAGGTTCCAAAGAGGGCCTTGGGTTGTAGCAGGAGGTAGAGGTTCAGCCAGCTTCCTACAGGCCTGCAGATTGTCACTGGGTGTCCCTCAACCTGCACTTAGGGATCAGGCCTTCCTGGCAGGTGCTCTGGTCCATGGATTCCTTGGAAACTACCGATCTGTTTAGCTTGGGTTAAAATGATGAGGCGGGCGGTGGTGGCGCACGCCTTTAGTCCCAGCACTCAGGAGGCAGAGCAGGCAGATCTCTGTGAGTTCGAGACCAGCTTGGTCCACAGAGTGAATTCCAGGATAGCTAGAGTGGTTACACAGAGAAACCCTGTCTTAAAAACCAAAACCAAAACAAAACAAAACGAAAATAACCAAACCAATAAATAAATATGTAAACCTGGTGTGCGGATGTGAGATAGCATCAGGAAACTGTGCAGGCATGGCATGGCTCGTGCCTGAAGAAGTTCCCTCAGAGTCCAGGGACATTGAGGTGTGTCCAAAGCACAGCAACCACAGGGCCACGGGGTCTCTGACTGTTCCGGGGTGCACCAGACTTGTGTCTGTGTATTTAGTGAATGAGAGAGAGCACTGGTGAGCTTTCCCCTGTTTCTGGTCCATCCTCCTTTATATTGTTAACTTTGGGTTCCAGTCCATCAGGTGAGCTGCCAAGACCTTGGGGAGCTTTGTGGTTCTGTGACAACTTAGTTAATATTCTGCATGGACAAGTCCCTGTCAGCCTTGCTGTGTCAGGGACAGGAATGCAGACTCAGCTCTGGCCTGTATAGCCAAGCTGCTATCAAACAGGCAGGGACAGAAACTTCATACACAGAAGATACACGGGTCTCGTGGGGTGTGGGGTGTGCAGGCCTCCTTTGGGGAAAGGAATGTTCTGTCTGGGAACCTAGGTAGCCATCAGAAGTCAAGTGGGTGTGTAGGGAGAGGCTGTGGGCAGGGAGGCTTGTGGCTGAGCACCAGACACTGGGTCATTCTGAACTCAGCAGTGTTGCAGACACGGCCTTCAGATGTTACCGAGGAAACTGAGGTGCACCTAGTCTCATTAATAGAAAGATTCAGAAAGGAACTCGTAACAATTGTTTTGGCATTTAAAGGAAAACATGGTACAGGTTAGGTAAGAACCCTGACAACCACCAGGAAGAGGTGTGAAAAAAGCATGCCTTCTAAGTTAGATGCAGAATGGAAATAGCTTACTAAGAAAGGAACCACGGGGGCTGGAGAGATGGCTCAGTGGTTAAGAGCACTGATTGTTCTTCCAGAGGACATGAGTTCAATTCCCAGCCGCACAGCTCACAGCCATCTATAATGAGATCTGGTGCCCTCTTCTGGTGTGCAGGCATACATGCATGCAGAAGACTGTATACACATAATAAATCTTTAAGAAAGAAAGAAACGATGGGAGCTGGAGGACTGGCTTGGCTGCTTTTGCATAGGACAGGAGTTCAGTCCCCAACACCCATGTCCAGCTCCTTGGAGATTCAGCATTGTCTACGTGCCTCATCCCCACACAAAATAAAACTAATCTTAAGAAGAAAAAGAACTCCAAGGATGGAAATAAACCAGTGGGCGAATATCTGGACACTCACTGGCCGTTTATAACACCCACCTCCGCTACTGGTTGTATTTCATGAATTCGTTTCCAACATAGCGGTATTCCTTAGATGATACTAAGTAAGGAAAGGTTTCCAGTCGTCCCCTGACTTCTTTCATGTTTTTGTTGTTTGTTTTTGAGACAAGGTTTCTTTATGTAGACCAGGCTGTCCTTGCACTCACAGAGATCTGCCTACCTCGGCCTCTGCAGTGCTGGGATTAAAGGCCTGTGCCTCCATGCCTAGCCCATGTGTTAATCTTCATATAGAGTTTTGTTTTTCAAGACAGGGTTTCTCTGAATTGCTTTGGAGCCTATCTGGAACTCGCCCTGTAGACCAGGCTGGCTTCGAACTCACAGAGATCCGCTTGCCTCTGCCCCCGAGGGCTGGGATTAAAGGCGTGCACCACCACCGCCCATCGTGGAGCCTTGTTTTAAGGGTAGTTTGTTGGTGAACAATAGATAATAGTTTCTGAGCACCACACAGAGTCAGAGAGAGGCAGATGCAGTCTGCCCCAGGTATTGGAGGCCCACAGTGAGATGAAAGGAATGGTTCCTCATCTGAGGCTCCCTAACTTCTGGAGGTTGACAGTAAAGCTAACTGTAACATACCTACTTCCCTTCACCGTGAGCTGAGCTGAGAGGTGTGAAACCCAGCCATTGTTGCACACGAAGATGCTAGCCATAGTTAAGTGCTGTTGCTACTGGCGCACTCGGAAGAAAAGGCATATTCCAATGTACGTGATAGGATGTCAGTAACTAAAGCCTCAAGGTCTGAAAACAGACATTAGACAAGCATGCTGACTGAGCGGTCCATGGTTGATGCATCTGAGACCCTGTCTCAAAAACAAATAAAAACCACTGAAAATAGAACATTTTAAGCCTACTTGGCTTAAAAAAAAAAAAGACAAAGTCATGTGTGTACACTGTTAGTATTCAGGCATCTGTACTGGCCTGCCCTTGGGGTCCTGACAGGATACACGTTCTCAGCTGCAGCCACTAAGAGCACCTCCTGTGCACATTCACTGTGTTCCCTTATAAAAGGCAGGTCTTGGGGCTGGAGAGATGGCTCAGAGGTTAAGAGCACTGGTTGCTCTTCCAGAGATCCTGAGTTCATTTCCCAGTAACCACATGGTGGCTCACAACC